AAAATGAAGATGTCGACATCTTTGTGCTTCTCCTTCAATATTTTTTATAACTGAAATCAATTATTGAGTTTCAATTGGCGACGACATTTTCTAGGGTTCTCAAACATATGACCTAATTTTACCCGATCGAATGAGGGATTGGGATCAGATTTTGTGATTTCCTCCAATTTGACACCTCGATCGACAAGTAACTGACGAGGCATACACATTTTCTACGCCGTTTCTAGGAAATACCACGTAGGGAAATATTGAAAGTTTGGATGCCACGTCATTACTTAATTATTTGGTCACGTCAGCATTTTATCCAGGGTGATTAATATAAATTTTTCGACCAATTTGTCAACTGCATATTTTTTTTTTTCCGTGAGAGACAACATAATGTCTCGGTTGTTGACAACGCCCAACTTGGTGTATCATTTTTTAAATTCTGCTGCCGGTTGCGTGGAGAGAACTGATTGGTAGCATGTTTGGTTTATTGTCGAGTGATAATTACTTGATTATATGTTTTCGAATCTTTTGAGTAACTCGTTTCTTTATTTTGTCTTGGTGTACTTAGTTATTTTTTTTAAATTATATAATGAATTTTTATTACGGTTTGATGATTCTGTTGTTCTTCCTTCCGTTCAGACTTTCAATTATGTATGTTCACTTTAGTATAAACAACTAATCCACTTGTGAGTAGAGTGTTTAAGGTTTTTTTTATTTTTTAAACGACAACCCAAAGAGCTGGGGTGGGGGGTGGGTTGTTGAAGTCGGACCCCCTACCTGTGTATAAAATGCCCTAAATGATGTACTAAAAAATCACAAGTCTAAAAGTTCAATACCTGGTATACATCAAGTCAAACGAAAATTGCCCTAATTAAGACCTTAATTTTTATTTTTGTGATCGATAATTACTTGAATTCAATTCCGAACAACTTTTATCGCGTACTCACCTAATAAAACAACAAGGCATTGCCTAACAACTCAAACTCAAATAACATCTCTAAAAGATCAAATCACATACATGATGATTCTTGTAAGAAAATTGACGGGGACCAACCCAATGGGCCTGCGGTCCTGCCCGCCCTCAAGTATCAAACTCTCTCTCTCTCTCTCTCTCTCTCTCTCTCTCTCTCTCTCTCTCTCTCTCTCTCTCTCTCTCTCTCTCTCTCTCTCTTACTATCAATCAATAATATAAAAAAGTGTAGAAAAAGAAGAATGAGAGGAACAATGGCCTAACTTGAGAAGCTTCCAGGAGTCGAGGAATATATCATATGAACCTCATATTATATTGATCCATACCATCCTTTCTCTCTCTACCATCTCTCTCTCTCTCTCTCTCTCTCTCTCTCTC